ACACCGCGAACAAGAAAATGAAGAAAAGAATGGGAGAAGTGGAAACAAAACAAAACCTCCAAGAAAACCATCTCTTACAGCTGCAAATGGGAAAAGGCCAACATGATTCTCAGATTCCAGGGAGTTCCTGAAACTGAAAAAGAAGATTTGAAGAAGACTCTAGGTGAGATTATTGCTCCAGTAACAGGCTTACCAGCGGATGAAATAATAAAAGATATGGAGACTGCCTATTGGGCTTACTCCAATTATATATATATAAAAAATAGCCTGCCTGGAGAGATTGTGGTCAGATTTGCAAGAAGACAGACCAGAGATTAAAGGCAACCTCAGCAACTCCACTGAAATTGGGGAATACAACCATTAAGACTTTAAAAGACATTCCATTTGAACTCCATTTTTTTTGCCAAGGAATTCTTGAGACGTCAGCTGGGATCAGGGGAAGAGTCCAAAGACGAAGAAACCAAATCAAGTGACTCTGCCACCTCTGGAACGGTTGAGGACTCTGCGGTAGAAACGGGTGTGGGAGCAATGAAAGTTGCATACGATTTCAGAGATAGAAAACCGAAGTAAAGTCAGACGGACTTTGAAAATCGCCCTTTGAAGTAAAGAAGATGCTCAGAAAACTCTCTCATAACAACTAACATATTAACATAGAAGCTGTGAAAAACACGAACTTTACAAGTATATTGTTTTACTAACACTTTAATTACTATCATTTAGTTTAACACGGATATGATCTCCTTCTCTTGGGTTTTTAGTTAGTGTGGGTTTCTTTTCTTTATCCATAGTTGTAGTCCCCCTCCCTACATTTCTTTGTAGTTATATAGTCTTATGAAAAAATAATAAAAATATCCCTTCGGGGGTTTAAAAAAAGAAAAGAAAGAAAGCATGTGAGGTCCCAGTGATTACTTTGCAATGCGTTTTGCAGACTGAGCGGCTCGCCTCTGCCATGACATAGAGATCATTGTTGGACGGGTTCAGTCAAAGAACGTTGTTGGAGTGCGGTCTGGTCCCAGGTGGCTTTCCATTGCTGAGCCCTGCTGAAGTGGACAGGGTGTGTCAGAGTGTGCAGGCCACCATGATGTGTTGCTTGGTTGGGTTCGGGAGCTCATAAATGCCTCTCTTGAAGGAAGGTCTGGTTCTGACTGCTTGGGAAGAAGCCCCTCCTGAAGGTGGCAACCCTGGAGACCAGTGACCTCAACAGCTGCCACCCAGTAGCTGAGACTCCATTCTTGGGTAAGGTACTCGTGCAGGTGGTGTCTACACAGCTTCAGATGGAGGAGACGGATTATCTAGACCCATTTCAATCTGGATTGAGGCCTGGCTTCAGAACAAAAACAGCTCTGGTCACCCTGACGACTGGTGCCAAGGAGTGGCGGGGGAGTGCATCCCTGCTGATTCTCCTGGACCTCTCAGCAGCTTTCAGTGCCATGGACCGTGGGGTCCTTCTGGAGAGGCTGGTTGAGCTGGCAGTAAGGGGGCACCGTGCTTTGGCTGTTCTGTTCTTACTCGACCAACCGATTCCAGAAGGTGGTGCTGGGTGACTACCATGTAAATGTCAAGGGGTCCTACAGGGTTCTGTCTTATCTGCCATGCTGTTTGATATTGACACAACCCCACTGGGAGACCACTGGTAGGCTGGTGAGAGCCAGCTCTGTTGCTCCTTGACGGCTAAGGCAGGTGGAGCTGTGGAGGTCCTGAATAGGTGCCAGGAGAAGGTGATGCGATGGGCGAGGGCCCGTCGAATACTGGCAAGACTGAGGTGCTGCTGGTCAATGAATCAGCAGCGCCGAGACTGTGGAGCCAGCTACACTAGATCCTGGCCCGTGGCTGCAGGCTCACGTCTCCTCCGTGGCACACAATCCCGTTTATCCACTCCAGCTAGTTTGCGAGCTGTGGGGGTTCCTCGAAAAGCATGATCTGGCTACCGCAATCCACACTCTGATCGCATCCAGATTAGAGTATCGTAAGGTGATGATGTACGTGGGTCTGCCTTTGAAACAGTTGGGCCAAAATGGGCAACCGGGCAGCTGTCAAGGGCGAGTGGCAGGGACTGTGTGCCCCACCCGTTTCCAGGGACAAGCCAAAGTCCTGGTTCTTACCTAGAAGGCACTGAACAGCTTGGGGCCAGAGTACCCAAAAGATTGTCTCCTCCCGCACGATCCAGCCCACCACTTAAGACCTGCCTCTCAAGTCCCGCTCTCTGTACCCCCGCAGGTGGTGACTGCAAACACGGCCTTCTCAATGGTGGCCCCATACCTCTGGAATACCCTTCCCCCTGAGGCTTGCCTGACACCTGCTTAACTTTCTTTTAGGCTCCAGACTAAAACACATCCTTTTACCTAGGCTTTTTTAATGATCTGCTTCTGGTTTACAGATAGTTTTTATGCCTTATTGGCTTGTGTTTTAGTGGCTTTTTAAAATACTGTGCTTTCTAGTAGTAAGCTGCCTCGCGTAGGACTCTGAAGAGCTGGTATAGAAATATACTGAATAAAGGAATCCCTCACTTTCCCCCGATATCCCAGTTTGCAGGTGGGGGGGGGAAAGAGAGGAGGACCATCCCCAATTTGGGCAAAATAAGATTATGGAGGCTTATTTTGTTTTCCCTCCCCGCTTTCAGATTTGATTGACAGTCTTATTTAGAAGACAAACTGTCAACAAGAAATCATTAATGTTAGAGTGTCCCTGATTAGGAAATCAAGCAGCCAAAGTCGGTATATGTGTGTACGTTTTCCGGGGGTGGGTGGGTAAAATTTCCTTCAGCCATTTGCAATAATAGTAGCGATAAGAAATGTGAGCTCCAGAAAGAACGCAAGATGGTAATTTAGTTGAATGTGTGGGTTTAAGTGAGGGAAAGATGACTGTTGTAAAATAATAATAATTTTGAAGGCACGAATAACCCCATAAGTGTTTTCAGCTCAATTAGGGGAGGTTTTAGCCAAGGGTTCTCAAGGAGACTTCTCAACTTGAGAAGTTTTCGCTTTTGTGCTCTGATCAGCCTTGAATGGCTTGAGAAAGAACTGGGCCCCTGCTCAAAGGTCAGTGCGGGCCAAGGCCGAATTGTTGCCAGAGGCCAAAGGGCCTGACGGTACTCTGTTCCTCAGATCCACATGGAGAACGACTTGAAAGGAAGTTCTCTAGCAGAAGCCTTGTTAAAATAACTGGGAACTCTATGGGGCTTTACTGCTGGCAGAGTCCAAGTGAGCCCCGTTGCCCCCCCCCCCCCACTGGCCCAACCCCGCCCATGGCTTTCCCTTGGGCCTCAGATCCCATCCCTTGGATACCCGCTACCCTGAGGGGCCAGCCTGCCCTGGGGAACCTTCAGGGTGCGCGGAAACAGATTTGGAAGCGCCCTTCTATAGAGTGCTGGGCACCCCAGATGTTCACCCACCTGCCCACTGAACCAGCAGTGCTCCACACCTACCTGAGCTAAACCAAAGGCAGCTTTTATTGTGTTTCAGAAAAATGCAGCATCGCAAAGAAGTAAAAAAGCATCTCTGCTGCTGTTGCTAGAGGCACACCACACAGCTATTCTTTGGCACACTCTGTTAACCAGCCCCCATGCTTGCTGAGTCTTTATGCCTCTAGACTAAAGACTCCCATTTCAGACAAACCCTTATTTCCATCTTGCAAGCCATGTAATTGTGCCCATTTCCTTTGCCGGGGGCGGGGGGGGGGGTGCTGTTCTGCAGGGAACCTCTCTTGAACCAGTATTTCGCCTGTTTCCCCTCCATGATGGTTAACCCCCGCCAAGACCCATTCGCTGGGAACCTTCTTGGAGTGGATGTTTCTTCTTTTCATTGGCTGATTCTTGAGTGTCACCTCCTCTGCACCAGCACCACTGCATCATTTGCTTCATATTCCCAAAATCAAAGTCTGCAGAGGGATTTTTCTAGAGAGATCCCTTCCTGCAATTCTACAGTGAGACCCAATGCGATGAGAGGGTCAGACTATGGCCCAATCTGCATCTAGCATTTGTTCCGCTGTCTTGTCAAACCCGCGCTGGAACAGAAATCCCCCTCTGCATTGCATGCTACTTTCACTTTGATTGTCGGATTTTATGGCAGCCTCCAGACTGCATGCCTCCAGACCGCCTTTCCCCATATGTTCCCCCACGGGCACTACGGTCGGGGACGCAACATCTCCTGGCGATGCCAGGCCCCAAGGAGGCCAGACTGGCTGCTACCAGGGCCAGAGCCTTCTCGGTGGTGGCTCCTACCTGGTGGAATGAGCTCCCGGAGGAGATCCGGGCCCTGCGGGACCTCGCACAGTTCCGCAGGGCCTCCAAGACGGAGCTCTTCCGCCAGGCGTTTGAGTAGGAGCCGCCACTATCGTACCATCATTATCCGGCCCTGGGAGAAAGAATAACAGCGCTAAGCGGAACAAACGGCACTGAGGGGTATAGCAGCATTAATACGTCATCTTCATGGAAGATCTATTCGGAACATCCAGAGCACTTAATAATGTTGTAATATTGTAGAAATGATTTTAAATGGTTTCAATTGTGTTTTATCTGCGGGCTTATGCCTGATTGCGAGCCGCCCTGAGCCCGCGTAGCGGGGAGGGCGGGCTATACGTTGAATTTATAAATAAATAAATGCCGCGTTCACTTCGTTTGATCTCTCGGTTTCATGGTAGCCGTCTGCATAGTTTTATGGCCATTCAGGGGCGACTCTGCAGTCAGTATGGCGTTGGCCCTGGGGTACTTGAATGTGGTTTTGAGCTGCATCTTTTTCTGTTCCGGGGTAAAACAGCAGAGCAAATGCTAGATGTGGATTGGGCCTAAGGCAGAGGACACCTGAGCTCAGATCCCCACTTGGCTGTGAGCCTCACAAGAGGGCCTCGCGCCTGTCGCGCTCCCTTGGCCTGATCGACCTCACAGGGCTGCTGTGCAGATAAAGGGGAGGGGGCTTTGGTGTACCCCACCTTGAGCCCCTCAGAGGAAGGGCTGGCCCAGACGTGTTGGAGAAGGGGGTGTCTAATGGGTTCCTCTCCTTTAGAATCCTTCACTGCCGACCACAAGCCTCTCATGGGAGAAGCGCCGGAGGTCCGAGGCTTTTTCCTGGGCTGCGGTTTCAACAGTGCTGGTAAGTGGCAACCTTTTCCTGCCTGAAACCCCTCAGGCATTCACGTTTGCTTTCACGCTGCAGTTTCCAAAGGTGTCATGGGTGGAGGCTTCTCAGCCCTCTTCAGGGGCCAAAGGGCATATGCCTTTGGCCCCTGTGAGTGGCCAGCAGCGCAGAGCCTCCGGATTAGCCGCGCTTGGGACAGACAGTGGAAGTCTGGCAGGGTGCTTTGTCGCCTTTTCCTCTCACAGGGGCAGACTGTGCCCCAGCAACGCTTTGAGGGCTCAGCTTGGCTTGGGTGGAGAGGAAACAGCAAGTGTAGCTATGCCCGTATCCTCCCTCCTATGGTGCCAGCAGCCACAAACAACCAGAGCCGCAGTGCTGCCGTACGGCCAGGTTTGCCGGCTCTTGGAAGGAACAACGCTGGCTCCCCCGGGGGATGAGTCTGCTCTGGGCCTCCCCCCCCCCCGCAGGGCATATGGCTAGTGGGGCCAGGGGCCGGGGACCACGTGCCCAGGGGCAGAGCTGAGGCATCAGAGGCCAGAGCTGATCCAAAGTGAACTCTGCACGTCCCACCAAATGATCTGCCCATGTGTGGTAACAAGCCAGCACACCTATCCCCGTCCAGGGTCCTGTTCTAACACAAGCACAAAGCAAGAACCGAACGGTGAGAGCAGAAGACCTGACACAGGCACATTTACCTATGGAGCACACCCACATGCACTCATAAGGAATTAAGCATTTAGCACTAAGCATTTAGAACACATTCCAGGGCTGGGGGATAACTGGCCAGCTGGCAACCATTCATTCATTCATTCATTCATTCATTGGATTTTTAGGCCACCCTTCCCTGTGAACAGAGGTCAGAGCGGCTTACAACAGAATAAGACAATAAATAAGTTAAAAACAATAATAAAATACAGCACAGGGTCGATAAATAAAACAAGTTATTCCAAAATGGCAAGGAATCTCCACAGGAGATTGCAACTTCCCATGGCCTCCCGGGTGTGTGTGTGTGTGCAGGTGAAGGGGGAGCGTGAGACCTGACAGTGCCAGACTACTTACTGCCCCCGTCGCTGTCCTCAGCGAAGTGCCTGGGGGAACCTCTCTGCTTTACACTTTATTGGCACTGTACTGTCAGTTCACTTCTAAGCAAAGTCCTGCCTTCCTCACTCCCCTGTGCTCAGAGGGGCGGGATTCTGCTTAGACCTGCTGTGTGTCCCCCCCAGAGCGGCTGCTTGAGTGGAGAACCGGCCCTGGAGCCTGCCTGGCCTCCTGCAGTTTCCTCAGCCACAGAGGGGGAGAACCTGTGGCCTCCCCAGACAGCTCTCCTTCTGGCTTCAGCGCCTTCCTTCCGGGGCTGTTTGAGTGCAGAACACACACACCGAGTCTGGATCAGAGCACAGCCGTCACTGGCCCTAAGAAGGAGGCACGAGACAATATTTCATATCTCTGTCCTTTGGCAAGTCACCCTGGCCTTTTCAGGCAAAGGACGTTGTTGCGCTCTGCCTTCAAGACCTTTGCAGCGCTAGGCCTAAGGGCTGGTTTTGGTTTTCAGCCGGCTCTCTTCTGGGCCCCAAAAGCAGCTCCTGCCTTGAAATCTGTCGGTGAGAGTTCAGATTAAGACCCTTCATTTTTAAAACTGCTTTTAACAGGGAGCTTGAAATGGTTCTTGTCCGAGAGCATCGGTGGTTCTGCACGCGTGACCCTCTTTTTGCTTCCTTTCCTTATCCACAGGAATGATGCTCGGCGGTGGCTGTGGGAAAGAGCTGGCCCACTGGATAGTTCACGGACGTCCTGAAAAGGACATGTATGGCTATGACATCAGGTGAGCCTCTTCCCGCTCTGGTTGCTGAGAGAGAGCGCACATTTCTTCTGTTCAGGCACCCCGTGGCAGAGTTAATCCAGGCAGCTGAGAGGTGTCAGGTTGACTCCTTTTCTCTCCAGATGAGACCAGGAGATTGAGAAGGTGACTTGCTGATTAGAAGGAGGCTCAGTCATATCCATTGGAGTTGCTGGTTAGCAGAGTTTCTTCCAGAAGTTCTGAAGCTGAGGAGCCAGCCCTGAGAAGGCACCGCTGCCTTTAACCACCCCCACCTTTCCTCTGCAAGACCGTGGGGGGGGGGCGCAAATGGAGCAAGGCCTTTGGAGGCAGTCTCAGTTGCCAGGCAGGTCCCGTGGAAGCAGCCAGTCCTTCGAGTTTCCTGGTCATTTAGGGCAGGGGTCCCCAACCTGTGTGAGCCAGTGAGCGCCTTTAGAAACCTGATGCAGGGTGGTGAGCACAGCCACAAATGTCTCAGGGGGCAGAGCCAGTCACGAAATGTCAGGGAGTCAGGTCATGCATAACTCTGACTGGAGCTCTCCAGCACTGCAGGCAGGAACTCTGCTTATCAGGATGCTTTTCAAAAGGAGCATATTGTTTAGAAATTTATTTATTTTATTTCACTTATACCCCACCCTCCCCGCAAGCGGGCTCAGGGCGGCTTACATAGGCACAACTGTGCAATAAAATACAACAGGATTAAAACAGTTATAAGGCACCAAGTGCAATAAAAATAGGACAAGTTGAAACAATTAAAACAAAAACTCGCATCTTGCAGGATACATTAGGAACTAAAATACTCACTCCCTATTGTATATCGCGGTGGGATCAAAGAGGGGGGATGCCATGGGCCAAGATGTTCCAGGTGGCCAGTCGGCCTAACCCAGCGGTCCTGCTCTGCAGTTACTCAGTAGTGGTGGTGGCGGCGGCTCCTACTCAAAAGCCTGGCGGAAGAGCTCCATCTTGCAGGCCCTGCGGAACTGTAAGAGGTCCCACAGGGCCCTGATCTTCTCCGGGAGCTCATTCCACCAGGTAGGAGCCGCCACTGAGAAGAACCTGGCCCTTGTGGCAGCAAGCCTGGCCTCTTTAGGACCCGGGGTCACGAGGCGGTGTTGTGACCCCGACTGAAGTGCTTTTTGGGGCCTGTATGGGGAAAGGCGGTCCCTCAGGTATGCCGGACCCTGGCCATATAGGGCTTTAAAGGTAAGCACCAGCACTTTGAAGCGAATCCGGAACGTTATAGGCAGCCAGTACAGCACTTTCAGCACAGGTTGCATGTGATCCCATTTAGGGACACCCGTCAACAACCTGGCCGCCGCATTCTGCACCAGCTGCAGCCTCCGAATTTGCGACAAAGGCAGCCCCATGTAGAGAGCGTTACAGTAGTCTAGTCTTGAGGTGACCGTCGCATGGATCACTGTGGACAAATCGCCGTGGCTAAGGAAGGGGATCAGCTGCCACACCAGCCGTAGATGATAAAAGGCTGCTTTGGCAGTGGCCACCACCTGGGCCTCCATCGTTGGTGGGGTCCAGGAGCACTCCTGCCTACGAAGCACCCATCTGGCAGGATCTGGCATTTTTCGATGGCCAATCAGAAGTTACTAGCAGCAGCACCTGGCACACCCACATTCTAAAAACACTTGGCAAGTGCCAAGGAAGATGTTGGCGAGTGCCGTGGGACCCCTGATTTAGGACTCTCAACAATAGTTACACACCCGACTTCCAGTTTTTGGTGTCTCAATGGCGGACGCGTCCCTGGAGAGCTCCCAGGGATGCGATCTGCATGCCAGCAGTTGGGAGGGGGTGTGATCGTACGCACACCCCCAGCACTCCAGCGTGGGGTCCCTAGCCATGGGGCGCTAAAGGGTTGCCTCTCCTCTGGCTCGATACTGGAGAATTGAGGCTCCCTTCTGCCCCGACAGTCTGGCTGCTGTGCATCCATAATGGAACTTGAGCTGCTGACCGGGACAAGTGTGTGGAGGCTGAGCGAATAAAACGTACCTTAAGTGAGGTCCTCGGACAGACATGGATCCCCGGGCCGACATTGACTGTGAGTCCATGTAAGCGAAAGCACCCAGATAAAAGCAGAAACTCTCTCCCCATTGAGACATAAGCGAGCGGGGGAGGGAACGCCACAAACGCAAAGAAAAGACTGAGACATTTAAAGGGGGAGACGGCATTAAAAGCAAAACGAAACTGTTTTAAGAACTTCACAGGAAGTTTATAAGCATATGAGCGAACTTTAGAGACTTGGCAAACTATCTTAAAAGTAAACATCCTCAAAGATGGCGGGCAAAAGAACTGAGAAGGACAAACAAGCAAAAATCAAGCCTTCGGTCAGCCGACCGGAAACTACCATAGATATTTCAAAGACGTTAGCAGACTCTTTGCACCCTCTGCTGGATCAAATGACAAATATAAATCAGCAGCTGACAATTTTAAACCAGAACTTCGCAGCTCAGCAGCTCCAGTTAAGTGAAATTAATAAAAAGACTGAGCAGACAGCCGAGATGGTGAAGGAGATGGATGCCAAGACCAAAAAGATTAAGAAGCGTGTGCAGATGTTGGAAAAGAAGGGAACAACTGAAGAATCACAGCTTTTGCTACTTCAAATGGATAAAGCAAATTTTGTCCTGAGATTCCAGGGACTTCCTGAAAATAAGGGGGGAAACATGAAACAAGTACTGAGTGATGCCTTGGCCCCGATTGCAGATTTAAAAGCAGATTATATTAAAAGCGAGATAGATGTGGTTTATAGATCATATTCCGAATATATAAAGAAAAAAAATCTGCTGGGGGAGATAGTGGTTAAATTCTCTAAATGGTATGTGAGGGATTCAATCCTGAAAGCAACAGCAGCAATGCCCCTAAAAACCGAAGGCAAGGAAATAAGAGTTCTAAAAGACATTCCATTTGAAAACAGGTAGAAGAGAAACAAATTCAAAGTCTTGGCAAGGTTTTTACAAATAAACAACATCCCCTATAGATGGCTGGTCCCTGAAGGTATCCTGTTCAAGATAAATGAGAAGAAAGAATTGACATGGCTTCTAAAGCTCCGGAGTTTCTGAAGCAGCAACTTGGTTCTACGGGAGAGGACGGCAAAGAAGACGATGATGGAGATAAGGGAAGCGGTAATGACTCTGATACTACAACCTCTGAAGAAGACTCAGATTTGCAACAGGGGGCAGTTGCCCCCAAACAAGACTATCAATTGAGGAACAGAAGCGGGAAAAAGATGCTGAATGACTCTGAAGTCTGGATATTAGCAGTGTTGTCTTGTGATTATTCTTGAACAGTGAACTTTACTGGTATTGATAATATAAGCATACATATATTGATCACACTCAATGTTAACTAACAAGCTTTTTAATATTTTAACTTTTAATTCTATAGAAGCTTTTGTAATGGCCACCACCTCTTGGTTTTTTAGTGGTTTTCTTTCCTTTCACCCATAGTTTATAGATACCCTCCCTAATTTCTTTGTAGTTTATAGAAAATGCAATAAAAATATCCCTTCAGGGGTTAAAAACAACAACAACAATAGTTACACACCCTGTAGAAATACAACTTTGCCGTGTCAGGAACATTGATTTTGTTCAGTTGCGCAGTGGCACAGGGCTGCTACTGGAGAAGGCACCACATTCCACATTCATCTGATCCAATTCTAACGAATCTGAACCTGCAGTTTTTTAAAAATTGAGATGCCCTCAATGACCCACCTTGATTTTCACTTCCGCGGTCTGACACTCCAGCTGCCCCACAGGACACAGCCACACATTGTGTTCAGGAATCCTTTGGCAAGTGCCGCAACTGTCAGGCAGTAAACATTTGCCACACTATACATCTTCCCACTGACCTGATCCCAGGAGACTTTGTACCTTTGCTTGGTTAAATACCTCCAACTTCAAGGCCCTGCTAAGTATTCCAAGTGGGAGTTGTGTGTCTCTGGGCTTCCCACACCAGATCATTGTCAAATGTGGATTTCGAGCAGCTGACAGATTTCTCTGCAAACAAGAAAGGTCTGCTTTGCCCACATCGGTTTCCCTCTTGGAGGGGTAGGGAATGGACTGCGCGGAATAGCCACCATTCATTCACGTGTCATCCTGGCCTCCCGGCCTCCCTCCTGCCTCTGTGTGATCAGCATAGGTCAGACCCAAAGCCATACTGCAGCTGTGCAGTAGTTATGTTGGAGGGGGTAGGGGGTGGCGCACGTTCCAGTTCTGCTGTGAGTTCTTCTGTTCATACACTAAGTTAATAACGGAGTGGGAATTCTGATGGGGGAGTAAGCTCTGAAGGAAGCTTGTGCCTCCCTGCTGGCTTTGGGGGCTGGTGAACCAGAATTCGCCAATGCAGTTGCTTCCAGAGGTGACCCCACGTGGGAGAAAAGTGAGGCAGTCTCCTCAGATGTAGGATATGAGGAACCATTAGGATTGGCAGCATGGGAGGGAATCCATTGTGACCCACAAGGTGCAACCACCTGGCAATTTTTCAGCACAAACCTCACTGGGGTGAACAGCTTCACCAGAACCCGGCTAATTCCAATCAGACCTGCATGAGGAAAGTCCCTGGTGGATTGTGCGCCGTCTTGTCCCTGGGAGGAGGAAGATGTCATTTGGACTTTCTGTGACAGGCAGCAGAGCAGTCTTGAGCTAGATCATGCTCGCATTTTCTTTCTACTTTTTCTGTCGCCTTTTATGGGAATGTTGTCTCTGATCATAGAATCATAGCGTTGGAAGGGACCTCCAGGGTCATCTGGTGCAACCCCCTGCACAATGCAGGAAATTCACAAATACCTCCCCCTCATACCACCAGTGACCCCTGTTCCACGCCCAGAAGATGACAAAAAAAACACAACACCCTCTGGGATCTCCAGCCAAACTGGCCTGGAGAAAAATTGCTTCCTGACCCCAAAGTGGTGCTTGGCATTTCCCTGGGTGTGTGAGAAAGGGCCACAGGAACTAAGCACTGATGCAACCCTTCCTGCCCCCCATCCCATGATCTGCCTA